AGGGTCAGAGGGAGAAGCAGGCTCCCCGCCGAGCAGGGAGCCCGATGCAGGACTCGATCCCGGGACTCCAGGATCATGACCTGAGCCGAAGGCAGTCGCTTAACCAACTGAGCCACCCAGGCGCCCGTAAATCCCCCATTTTATAGATGAGAAAATGGTTGTCAAGAAGTCAAAGAAGCACTGAAAGTCTCCAGTCATTCAGCATTATTCAGCACTTTGGCTGTCTTTCCACAGGAATCTGGTCGGCAGCCCTGAATGGAGACCTAGGCCGAGTGAAATATTTCATCCAGAAGGCAGCAGACCCTAGCCAGCCCGACTCGGCTGGCTACACGGCTCTGGTGAGCTGGGGAGGGAAATTTGCACTCGGGATACCTGCCCTCTCTGGCGGAGGGGGTGATGTTGCCCGTGCTGCCGCCTGTTCTTCTCTCCCAGCAGGTTTTGAGTTTTAAGCATTGTGTGAACCTTGTTCTAGGTTTGTTTGTTTTTTTCCTTAATTAGTGTTAAGTGCTTTACATCATTTATTTAATTTCATTTACCTAACAATCCTGTGAGGTAGGAATGATCATTATCCCCACTTTGCTGTTGAGGAAGCTGATGCTAGAAATGAAGCGGCTTGTCTGGGTCACATGGCTGGCGGACGTGGCCTCTGAGGTCGTTACTGTCCTCTCGCCTACCCTGTAGCCTGCTCCAGAGCCCGTGCTCTCCCCCGCCCACCGTCCTGCCGCCTGCCTGGGCTCTGCTGTCTGACCTCGCTCTCCGTCCCCTGCAGCACTATGCCAGCCGCAACGGGCACTATGCCGTGTGCCAGCTCCTGCTGGAAAGCGGGGCTAAGTGTGATGCCCAAACGCACGGGGGCGCCACCGCTCTGCACCGGGCCAGCTACTGTGGGCACACCGAAATCGCACGGCTCCTGCTGTCTCACGGGTCCAATCCTAGGTTGGTGGACGACGATGGCATGACCAGTCTGCACAAGGTATGCCGCCCTTCCCCCTTCACGATCTTGGCTTTTGTTCAGTGGAGAAAACACGGGGAAAGCAGAGAAGCACTTGCAATGTCCATGCTTACCAGTCATCACTTGAGGGTTAATGTACAATGTGCCAGCAGTTTCCCTGGGCGTGTAAATTAGAATTACACGTACGGCGTCATTTTTTTTTTTCTTTGCTTTCATGATATGTCATGAATGCTTTTCCGTGAAGTTAGTTTTCTGAAGCTCACATCTACTCTCGCCTACCCCTGTAGCCTGCTCGCCGTACGGTAGCCAGGGTGACCACTTCATTAACTTTCTGCTGACCAGAAATACCTGCACGTGGTGAAGAGTTTGAGGAGTACAAAACAGTGCAGCGTGAAAGTGTCTCCCTTCCACCCTGACCCCTGGTCCCTCAGTCTTCCGGGACACCCTGCTCAAGGCATCCCTTTTACTGATTGCTTATGCATTTTAGAGAAGCGGTTTATGCAAATTTATGGTGTGCGTGTGTAAACGTATTCTCTTATGAACTTTAAAATAGAGAAATGTAAGTTGACTGCATGACTTACCATGAGAGCCTGTGGCAGACACTTTTTGCTGTCCACCAAAAATTTGTGCTCACTCTTTCGTATTAGAGACCTGTCCCTCAGACGGGGCTCTACAGTCTCAGACTACGTTCCGCTCCCTAGCGTGGCGAGTTCTCAGCCACCAGAAGACAAGACGCACCGACGAGCTTTTTTTCCAGGAGGAGAGCTTTTAGGAGCCAGTGTTCCTACTCCGCACACTCTACTCCGTCGCCCCAGCCCGTAGCTGAGACACCTAGGGGTTGGCAGATCCCCAGCAAGCAACCTGGACTTCAGAAACATGGTAGGACAGAAAGGTGCTTGCTTAGCGACAGCAGCCTTGAAATGTGACGGCCACAAAGATAGAGGTCTTGTTTTTATTTTGTACACCTGGCTGTTGAATAACATGTTATTACCATTATTTTTTAATGTATGATGGGAGTGGAGTAACACTTTGGTAGAGACACTAGTAGATATATTAAAAAAATACACGTAGCAGGTTTTGTTTTTGTTTTTTATGCTTCATGACACACCTTCCGTGAGGCACAGGCGCACCTCAGAGACATGCAGACCTCCGTAATAAAGCAAGTCGGGTGAGTCTTGGTTTCCCAGGACACATAAAAGTTACGTTTATAGTACACTGTAGTCTATTTAGTGTACACTAGCATTATGTCCAAAAAAAATCATGTATGAAACTTAGTTTAAAAATACTTTATTGCTAACAAATGCTAACCATCATTTGACCTTTCAGCAAGTTGTAATCTTTTAACTGGTAGAGGGTCTTAGCTCGATGTGGATAACTGCTCAGCGTATCAGGGAGGTCAGGGTAGGAGTTGCTGAAGGTTTAAGAAACTGCTGTGGCTCACCGGTTCTTGAAATAAGACAGCAATGGACTTTGCCACATTGACTGACTCTTCCTTTCACTGGAGCGCTGAGAGGCCATTGCAGGGCTGTTAATTGGCTTACTTTAAATATTGTCGTTCAGGGAGTAGGGAGGCACGAGGCAGAGAGAGAGAAAGACTGGGGGAGCAGTCAGAACCCATACATTTATAGATTAGCTCCTCTGTCTTATATTGGTGCGGTTTAGGCATCCCAAAATGATTAGAGTAGTAACATCAGAGATCAGTGATCACAGATAACAGATATAATAATCATGAAAAAGTTTGAAGCAGTTCAGGAATTACAAAAATGTGGCACAGAGATACGAAGTGAGCAAATGCTGTTGGAAAATGGCACCAAAAGACCTGCCCGGTGCGGGGTTGCCACAGATCTTCACTTGGTAAAAACATGGTATCTGCATAGCGCGGTAAAGCAAAGTGCAACAAAATGAGGTGTGCCCGTGCAGAAGATAGTCAGACACAGAAGCAGAGTGGGATGGTGGTTGCCGGGGCAGGGGGGTGGGGGGTGCTGTTGAGCTGGCGCAGCATCACTGAGGGGAGCTGATGAAGCGCAGCGGATCTGCGCCGTGTCAGTGGGTGACTGTGCTTAATAAGCTTTAAGTTTGTTAAGAAGGGGGCGCGCCTGACTGGCTCAGTCGGTAGAGCGTGGCACTCGTGATCTCAGCCCTACGTTGGGCGTGGATAGGGGGTGGTGGCTATCATTTAACAAAAACGAAACAGAAACAAAAAACAATTACCAAAAAACTATAAAAAAATAGATTTGTTAAGAAGTCAGATCTCATGTGAAGTGTTCTTACCATAATAAAAAATTGGGTGGGGGTCTGTTTCAAGGACCAACTTAATTTTTAGGAAGCCAGATGTATTTCAATGTCCAAGGATTTGCAGATATATTACCCTTGCGTCCACTCAAGGGAAGATGTCAACATTTCCCTCCTCCAGTTTCTTTTTTCTTTTCTTTCTTTCTTTTTTTTTTTTAATCTAAGTCATCTCTATGCCCAGCGTGAGGCTCAAACTCACCACTCAAGATCACGACTTTCATGCTCTCCCGATTGAACCAGCCAGGTGCCACTATCTTGAGCTCTCATCCCCTTGTCACTTACACTAAGGCCCCCTTTCTTGACCCCGTCATGGTGACACTCCAGGACCTTACCTGTCAAGCTGTCCCCAGCTCGATGCCTCTCCTCTCCCAGTTTTCATCTGGCTTGTTTCTGTCCTTCCTTCTGGATCTTAGCTTCTACCTCACACTCAGAGAGCTTTCCTGTTCTCAGACATGGGTAGTTCCCCCAACTGTGTGTGCAAAAGCACCCTGCACTTGACTCCTCATAACTTTTCTCCCTCTTAAATTCCGTCTGAGCTCTCTGTTCCCAGAGACAGCGAAGACTTGATCTTGTTTACTGTGGTAGCCCCAGCTCTTGGCACAGGTGCCCAGTGAATATTTGCTGAGTGAACACCTGGATGGCGTTTTATTTTCTTTTAAGATCCTTGCCAGTTGAAGAGGCAGACTGCTTATTCCTTGACGGTCTACAATGGTGTTGCTCGGACGGTCTAACTCCCTTGGAGGGTGTGTACCGGCAAGACACTGCGCGCGCATGGTGCTGGCTGGTCTTACGGCCTGAGGCCTTTTCAGTGCCTCTCTGGCCTTTCATTCAGGGGATGCAGATATGGGAAGAGTGGAATTGTTCTTTCTTTTTTTAACAAATAAGCTACTTGCAAACTTTGGTACTTTTTTTTTCTACAAAATTCTTTGGAATGCGTCTCACATCTCCCCAGAATGCACCCCAGAACTACTCACAACATTCCACTGCCTGAATTGAGGCAACAAAACTGAGAACCTTAGGTCTGTACTCAACAAGAGGACCTGCTAAATAAAGATCTGGATTCAAATTTGAGGTGGTATTTGCTACTAATATTAATTTTGACACCTCTCAAAAGCCCCGTGGTACATCAGTGACTATTGGGAGGAGCAGGGAATAGAGTGCTATAACACGGTTGTTAAAAGAGTTGAGACTTGGCAGTCAGACAGACCTGGTTTAGGATCCCCAGGCTGCCACACCAGCACTGTGACATTGGACAAGTCACTTACCTTGTATGAGCCTCAGTTTCTTCATCTGTAAAATGGGAATGATGATAGTTCCTACCTCTGATGGTTATTATGAAAGTTATATAAGCTGATCTGTGTAAATCACCTTAACTCTCTTTTCTGGAGGAGGTAGGTTGAAAATTGATGTCCAGGTTGGGATCGTCTATTTCAAAGGAAGAGGAGAAAGCCGGGAACCTGGACCCATTTTTCTCTGCTCATCTGTACGTTCCCAGAGGGCGGAGGCCGTGTCTGGTGTATCTTGTGCCTACGGTGCCCAGCTGATAGATGACTGAACATTTATAAGGGACACTTAGAGATCCAATGTTCTGTATTTGTTTTTGTTTGTCCAAGATTTTATTTTTAAGTAATCTCTATACCCAACGTGGGACTTGAACTCACAATCCCGAGACCAAGAGTCGCATGCTCCATCAACTGAGCCAGCCAGGTGCCCGTCTATATTTATTTTTAATGTGCAGGCCTGGACAGAGAAGAATGGCTACTGAGCAGAGGACACCAGAAAGAAAAACTCAAGCTAACTGCCAGGAATGGCACTAGAGAATTCCACCAACCTTTATGCAAGTCGTTGGGATTTGGTAGGAATTAGGGTAAATCTACTCAAATAGCCGGTGTCTCCCATTTCCATAAGACCTGTTTTAGGACCAAGAGATGCCCCGAAGTGGAGCAAGAAAGGGTAGAGCCCAGTGGGGATATGGCTTTTGATTCATGCATCTTTTTCCACAGGCTGCTGAGAAGGGTCATGTGGACATTTGCTCCCTGCTGTTGGAACACAGCCCAGCCCTGAAGGCTGTCCGGGATCGGAAGGCACGACTCGCATGTGACCTGCTGCCCTGCGACAGTGACCTGTGGGACCTGCTGGCCTCCTGAGCCACCACCTTTCTGTCTCAGGCTGCCGTGCAAGAGGACCCAGACTAGCCCTCCTAGCCCCTGCCTTGGCCAGCATCCGTGCTGCAGGGTGGGAACCTGAGGCCTGAAGAGCCCTATTCTGGCCGCCCGGGGAGCAAGGGAGTAGATGCGGGGCTGCAAGTGCTTAAGCCTGGACAGATGATCATATTCTAAATTAGTTCACGTGGAAACATCTCTCCGTTTGGAAAAAATAAAGTTGTATCCTTACTTCATCCCATGCACAAAAATAAATTTCAAGTAGATGAAAGACCTAAGTATAAAAACAGAACTACGTAAGTATTAGAAGAAACTGGGACATATGACAAATTAAAAGCTGCTTTCTAGCTGAATGCCCTTGGGAAAGGTCACTTTGCCCATCTGTCCCTGCTTCCTCATCTGTGAGGTGAGGATGATTGTAACAGGGCCTGCTTCGGTGGCCTTGCGGAGGTCAAGTGAGCGAATATATGGAGGGCACCAGAGTGTGCCAGGCATGCTGCACACTGTCCGAGCGCACACTGCCTCACCTTTCCTTTTAACAACCTAATAGACTAACAAGTGCTGTTGCTTCGTTGTGCATTGCTAATGACCGCCTGTCTTCGCTGAACTTCCTGTGCATAACTACGGCCTGTTTAAAGATTTTCTTCCTTTTATTGATTCATAAGGAGTTACGTATTCTGGATATTAATCTTGTTTTTTATATATATATATATTTTTTTTTTTTTTTTTTTTAAACCATCACTTTGTTGGTATCTGTTCATGGAAATCGGTACACCCACCATAGATGGGAGTTTGGGAATATCTATTAAAATTTAGATGAGGGCCAATAATTTCTCTGTAGCTACCTAGAGAAATAGCCACGTATACAAAGATAATTTACTTACAGAGACATCTACAGAGTTGTGCTATAATGTAAGGAAGAAGGGAGGTAAGCTCAGTGTTCCCTGCTAGGGAAAGGATTAAATTCTGGTACGTGGGTCACTGGAGTGCAGTGTAAGACTAACATGGAAAGTGTGCTGAGCTGCAGTCACAGTATGATGCCTCTTAAGACCCGTCTATGGAAACCTGCATGTACGTACACAAAATTACAGGAAAAAAGTCGAGGATATATATTACACTGGTACCTGGGGTGTCCCCTGGTCTGCTGTGGTGAAAGTGGTTTGTCAAGTGCATCTTGAGCTTTATTTGTTCTGTTTCAGTTTTTTACAAGGAACAACTTTTTTGTAAGAATTAATACCAGTCAGTTTCCTGTGGAAGAAACTAGTTTTCTGGTGAGAATTTCAGATGAAGGGTGTTGGTGTAAGATGCCCTTGTCCTTGAATGTTGAAGGAGAGGAGTTTTAGAGTCGGCAGATAGTAGAGACCAAACCAAAGTCTGTCTTGTCTTACCCTCACTCTAGTCTAGGCAGCTCTCCCTTTTCATAACCAAAGGCAAGAAATCACCTTTGACAAAAACCCCTGATGCATAGGGACTGAGTTTCTTTTTAAAGCTCTGGGTTCCCTAAGTCTCAGAACTTGGATGTATTTACTGAGAAGCCAGCCATGGGTGGAACCATTCCCAGCCCTCTGGGGCCTTGGGCTGTCCTTGACCTGTAGTTCTCCCTCTCGTTCTGGTCATCCCTGCTCATATAGCTCCAGTTCTGGAGTCTTATTTACGATCAGATTTCCTTTCAAAGGTCAAGGCAGAATTCAAGGCCCAGCTGGGTGAAGGGCATGCTGGGCATCTTAAATGAGGAAGTTTGACTTTGGTGGCTTGAGACAGGTTGATTGGTGACTAGATTAATGGCTAACATCTCAGTCCAGCTTCCCTGTGGGATGGCGTGCTCCCTGCCCAGGAGAGCAGGTAGGGACCTGCATGTGTGGGGCGTGGAAGGCTTTTCAAGAGGCAGGGGCTGCTGATGACAGACTGGACTTGGCTCCTGGCCGTGGTGTAGTTTAATACGCTGGCTCTCGGAGTGGTGAGGGAGAAGTGGGGGGCGCCTGGGGAAGGAAAGCAGAAGTATGGAGGGCAGCCTTGAAACTGGGAGTGGGGAAGTTGCTTGAAGCCTGATCTCCTGTAGGTGCCATGCAGATTCCTGCCGCAGACGTCAGCCTCTTGGGCCTTTCCTTTCCGAGGTCCTCTCTAGGATTCTGGCTTCCTTTGGCTCAGAACAGGCTGACTGGGTCTTTCAGGGTCTCAGGCACCTAGACCTGTGGCAACATGGAGGCTCACGCTCAACGTTTTTCTAGTGGCCCAGGCACCCCCGGCCACACGTTTATTGGTCGAATTACTCCTGAGCAGGTGTAGGGGATGGCACAGGTGCAGGAGGGTGGGTGTCTGACGCTGCACCCGACGCAGCTCAGAGCGGTTCCTGCCTTCAGCGGGCTGCACGCCCACATTGGTATTCTGGTCAGCGTCACAGAACCACGGAGCTCTCTGGCCCGGGCACAAGCCCCTGGCCTGCCCTGCCCCCAGGAGCCAGCTCTCCTGTAAAAGGGCTGAGCAGCTCAGCTCCTCTCACTGGGGGCGTGAAGAGCAGGGGGGGACCATGGACGTCATCAGCATCCAGCAGTTGGTACGGACATGCAGCGGCGGGGGTGGGAGGCAGGTCACGGTCTAGACATCCCCAGGCCTGCCCAGCAGAACGAGGGGGGCCAGCTGGAGGGGGGCAGGCGGCTGCTTCCTGTGGTCGGAGGAGAGGTGTAGGAGCAGAAACACGCAGTTGTTTTCTGTCTGTCCAGTTCTGTGAGGCAGTGACAGACGAAGCAACGGGAAGATACCCGGTGATGGTGTAGACATGACAGCCCTCGAGTTCAGGGAGTCTTGCCCTGGACTGTGATGGCAAAACAGGAAACAGCAGGCTACTCAGAAGACACGAGCATAGGGCGCCTGGGTGGCTCAGTCGGTTGAGCGACTGCCTTCGGCTCGGGTCATGATCCTGGAGTCCCGGGATCGAGTCCCGCGTCGGGCTCCCTGCTCGGCAGGGAGTCTGCTTCTCCCTCTGACCCTCCTCCCTCTCATGCTCGCTCTCTCTCTCAAAGGAATAAATAAAAAAAATCTTAAAAAAAAAAAAAAAAGACACGAGCATAGCTGCAGGGATTGAGCTCAGCTGCTGCCATAGCCATTGCTCTGGAAATGGTCCAGGGGGTCTGGCTGCCTTGGTCGGGGAGGAAGAAGGGTGCTCTGAGTTTCCTGGGCGGTGAGAGGAACGGTCACACCGGTGACGCTCTGGGGTGTCTGCTTTGGTAAGGTGGGCCCGGGAGGCCCAGGAGTCATGCTGCCCAGCAAGCCCCATTGCGACCCTGCCTGGTGCAGCCTCTTGGGGTGGGGGGGCAGCTTGCAGGCCCAGAGGAGTGTTAGGTTGCCACCAGCGTTGGCTTTGGAAGAGAATACAGTTCGTTCTCTGTGGCTGGAAGCCCTATGCTCTGCCATCCTATCATCCCAACCTTTTCCCTCTCCCCTAGAACGCTTATTCCTCAGTGCTCCCCAGCTCCTGGACGCCTGGTGGGGGCAGGAAGGAAGAGCAGATCACTGTACGGTGGGTTCTGGCCCGGTTTCCTCCTCACAGCCCCTTGAGCTAGGTGCTAGTTTTACCCCATTCTAGTGATGAAGAAACAGAGTTTCACAAGAGCCAAGATTTGAACCCAGGAATTCAGAATTTTACCCAGGAGGCATCTCTGTTCCTCTGAACTCGGGGTCAGGTGGCAGTATGGCGTGATCTGATAGGAATGTAAGGACGACAGCCCAGGAGGGAAGCTGAGGTGTCACCTGTCCCAAGCGTACCTGGACACCAGCCCAGCAGTATAAATAGACACGGTGTCATGCCCCTGACCCTGTGTCCTGCGACAGGACATGGTAGGCGGTAGTTATCCTCCTGGGCCCCGGGCAACACTACAGTGGGTGAGAGCCAAGAGCCATGGGCATCAGGGAGCATGCCAGCAGAGCGCCAGGAAGCTTCACCAAGGGTCAGGCCACTATGACATCCACAATGCTCTCTCTGTAGGTCACCTCTTGTCAGGATCCCTGTACTGCACAGCTGTTTCCTAAGGCTTCCTCATTTTTCTGAGTCTTTCTCCTTATTCCGCTCCTACAGGTACGTGGAGACAGAGTTGGAAGGAAAGTGTCGGGATGTGGACATGGAGTTCCTGATCCCGGAGGCGGGCCTGGGGCCTGGAGCTGAAGAGGCTGTGGCCCGGGAGCGGTGGAAACTGGGAGAAGAGAAGAAGAAAGTGAGCAGTGCTGGGGATGGGGGGTGGCGAGTGCCAACCCCGAGGTGGGCAGGCTCTGAGCCCCGAGGACCTCGGGTGGCTGGGGTCCCTCCTGCGGGTGGGAGAGGCGAGGGCCAGACCAACCCGGAGCCTGCCCCCGAGGCCTTGGCGCCCCGTGGCTAACTGCTGGCCTGCTCTTGTGCCCCAGCTTGAGAGATTTAACAGCTCCAGACGGAATCTGGAGACTGGCTGACTTGAAAAACTTGGTTCAAAGATGGGGAGAGAGGCGACTGAAATGCAGTCCCCCCTAGGGCACGTGAGCCCGTGGTTAAGGTGAGAAGTCGCGGGGGGGGCTTGAGTTTGTGAGGAAGCGCTTCCTGTCGCCGTGGGAGGGCTTGGGGAAGAGCGGACACCGCCAGGGCCTGCTGAGCTGGACAGACTCCGTTCTGGAGGCCCCACAGCCCTCCTGTCTGTTTGCTGGGGACCACACGCACAGTGGCTTCAACAGCAGAGATTTATTCTCCCAGTTCTGGAAGCTGGAAGTCTGAGATCAAAGTACCGGCAGGGCTGGTTCCTTCTGAAGGCTGTGGGGGAGTCTGTCCCTGCCAGTCTGCTAGCTTTTGGTGCTTGGTGGCTAGCTTTGGTGTTCCTCGGCTTGTGGGTGCCTCACCCCGATCTCTCCTGAGTTCACAAGGCACTCACACTGTGCCCGCTGTGCCCACGTGTCCCCTTTCATTAAGGACACCAGTCATTGGATTAGGGCCCACTTTACTCCAGTGTGACTTCATCTTAATTACAGCCGCAATGACCCTATTTCCAAATAAGGCCACATTCTGAGGTCCTGGGGTTGGGACTTCAACATATAAACTTGGGGGTAGGGGGCATGGCAACCCATAATGGGCGTAATAGGTCTCATCGGTCCGAATCTGGGGGAGGAAGGGAGTTAAGAATTACAGTTTGTACCAGCCACCAACCAACATGTAGTCCTCAGCTGGCTCTCGGGAGCTGCTCGGCTAGACTGGTGAAGACTGCGGTTTGCGAAAGTGATTTGGTCTCGCCCTGTAACCTACCCAGCCGCAGCCCCAGGCCCAGGCGGAGTCTGTGGACCTGGAGATGCTCCTGAAGGCAGCTGCCGAGAGCCGGGAGGCCCTGACTGGCAAGTACCTGGTAGATGGAGGGGACCCCAGTGCCCATGACAAGGTAGCAAGTGGGGGGACTCGGACTACAGTGTCAGAGCTGCAGGGGTGCCATCCTCCGTGTGTTCCAGTCCTGGCCTGGGAAACTGCGGGCCTTTCCGGAGCCGGGAGGGAGGGGCCCTCGGTGCGAGCAGGGAGCTGGTGCGTACGTCTGGGGAACCTAGTCCTGGGACTAGGACCCAGGGCCGGGCCTCTAGGGGGCAGCCGTGCTCCCTCTGCCTGATGTCCCGTCTCCACCCCCAGCTGCGCCACGCCGCCTTGCACTGGGCCTGTCCGAAGGGTCATGGCCAGCTCGCGACCAAGCTGATGGAGGCAAGTGCTGGGGACACTCACGACTTGGTGAGAACTGGGGAGGGGCCACCATCACGGCAGACCCCGTCCCGCACCAGAGCGTGTCTGTGCATCGGTGCTTTTGTTTGGTAGCTGGACAGGACGCCGGTGTTCTGGGCCTGCTGTGGAGGACACCTGGACATCCTCAAACAGCTGCTTAGCCAGGGAGTCCAGGTCAACGCCCGGGACAGGGTGAGGGGTGCGCTGCTGCGGGGCGGCCTGTTCCCGGAAAAGAGAAAGCACAGCCCCTCGGTGTTATAAGGCGGCCTCCCCCCGGGGTGGGTGACAGGAATTCTCACCCCTTAGATCTGGAGCACCCCCCTGCACGTAGCCGTGCACACGAGACACTGTGACTGCCTGGAGCATTGTCGCATGTGGACCCACATTGATGCCCAGGACAAGGCAGGTGCTTGCTGTTTGGTTTGGGTCTGCTCCACCGGGGGATGGGGACTCAGGGAGCCTGAGTTCGGGGACTGCTCGTGCCCACTGGACCCTGCGGGGGGGGGGTCAGGAGGATGAGCCCCCTTTCCCCAAAGGAAGGGGACACGGCTGTGCATGAGGCTGCGCGGCATGGCCACTACAAAGCCACATAGGTGCCGCTGCTCTGGGGGGGCCAGGCTACGTAATGTACTAGGCCCCCTGGTCTGAGGAGAGTGGGGGGCTCCTTCGCAGGAGAAAAGGACTGATCCTGGGCCCTTGTTCCCAGGCTTCAGTGACCCGGGGGCAGCTGGCGCGAAACGGGCAGCAGGGCGTCCGGGAAGCACTGCAGGCCCCCCGCGGGGCACCCTCGCACCCGGTCCTGCCGCCCGCAGCCCCGCACGGTCACTTCTCAGCCACCATTCCACCCTTCACCCCCCACCTCCGTGTGCCCTCACGGTCGTCCACACCCCTCTGTGGTCTTCGTCCTTCTGGCCAGCCCCGCCCAGCAGGTGACAGCCGGCTTCCCTGGCTCCAAGGGTTGGCGAGGACTCGCTCCCTGCTGCGCTGTCGCCAGGAAGGGCTGACACGGGGAACCCCGGGGAAGCCGGACACAAAGCGGGTCCTCGGTGGCCCAGGTGGAGCAACACTGAAGAGTCCTAAGCCTCGAGCTGCCCGGGGCTGGGCGCTCGATGTCCCCCCATCCTCCGCCTGGGCCCCTCCCTCCACAAGGGCCAGTGTCCCGCCCGGCCACCATCCAGGCCACACCGCTGTGGGGCACCGCGCAGCTGGCCAAGGCCCTTGGGGCAGGGCTTTCTCTGGGGACTCCACTGCCCCCAGCTCCAGCCAGCTCGGGCCTTCTGGCTCCTGGAGCTGGGTGTGGCAGGCTGGAGCGGGTGCCTGACGGGGTCGAGACCCCACTGCCGCACCTGCCCAGTACCAACCTGGTTGCCTCAGAAGCCCCGACACACAAGCCAGAGCTCACATTTATTTTCGGGAAACCTCGCGCCCACATCTGCAGGCCTCGGTCCACCTGCCTGCCGCTCTCTAGCTGGCCAGCTGATGGCGCCCCGTGCCGGGGTGACATACCTGGGAGCTGGGGATTGCTCCTGGCCCACCCAACTTTTGGGGTGGCGGCCCGCAACCCTCCTTTGCCCCAGGCAACGTCACGCTAGCACTAGAGCCTGAGCCCTGGCCTGGGCCGCGTGGCCGCACCTGCTCGGCCCTGAAGGGGAAGCAGAGAGCGAGCAGCACCCCTACTGCTCCCCCGTCTCTGCGTGGGGGCAGGGTCAGGACCCAGCTGCACACAAGTTCTCACACTTCCTTCCCCTCCCTGCCTTTTCTCTTTCACGCCGCGCTGGCGGAGACCCATGCTGCTGGCGGGGCTGGGTCCTGAACTGGCACAAAGTGAGTTTTAAGGAACTCTGCCCTAAATGGAGAACCACAGGCCGAGGGACCGGCTGATGAAGGGTCAGGCTCCCTCATGTACGTAAAGTACCTGGATGGACATCCATTTTGCAGTTCTCTCTAGTCTAACGCGGCGGCCTTCTTGGGCCAAGCACAAGGCTATTCTCACTATGTGAAAAAGTGACTACAGCCCTCACACACCTTCTCTTGCCAAAGGCAGCTCCAGCCCTGCGGGGAACTGTGGTGACAGTTCACCCAGGTGCTGGAGCCATAGGAGAAGCAGGTGTTCAAGTTCATGGAGAAGACGACTCTCCATCTAGAAGATGGGGACCCTTTTATACACTTCGTTTTTTGTTCATTGAAACTGTTGACTATCCATCACAGCTTAGTTGTTCTGGGCTGGAGGGTGGGGGCAGCTAATTAGGCCCAGGACCTGGTCTTCCTCAGCAGCAAAAGCTCAACCTGTTAACCATATGGGCCTGACAGCAAGACAGGCCCCCAAGTGCAGAGTGGGGCATCCAGGCACTTGGCTCTTGTGCTCAAGGCATCTCTCCGCTCGTTGATGGCCAAGTTCAAAGAGCAGTGGTTCTCAGCCTTGGCTGCTTATCACAATCACAAGGAAGGTTTTAAAAGACCTGATGTGCAAGCTAATTAAATCAGCGTCTCTGGGGGTGGGACCCAGGTATCCCCATCATCATGCAGACGACATACCTATGTAGGAAATCCTTAGGAATCTACAAAAAACACCTAGAATAAGGGAGTTCAGCAAGATCTCAGAATATAAGATAAACCTACAAAGACGTTATTTCTACGTATTAGCAATGACTACATGAACACAAAAATTAAAAGCACAGTACCACTTAAAGTTGCCTTTAAAAACAAAATACTTAGATGTAAATCTAACACTTAAGAACTTGTATGTTGAAAACTACAACACACTGATGAATGAAATCAAAGATGACAAATGAGAGACATACCTTGTTCGTGGATTGGAAGATGAGATCTAGTAAAGATGTCAATTCTCCCCAAATTGATACACAGCTTTAATGCAGCTCCTACCAAATATCCCAGCAGGATTTTTTTTGTAGATATAGTTAATAAGATGATTTAAAAACTCAACTAAGGGACGCCGGAGTAGCTCAGTTGGTTAAGCATCCAACTCTTGATTTTGGCTCAGGTCATGATCTCAGGGTCTTGGGATCAAACCCCACATCGGGCTCCCTGCTCAGTGGGGAGTCTGTTTCTCCCTCTCCCTTTGTCCCCCCCACCCCCCCGTGCTCTCTCACTCTTATAGCGAGAGAGGGAACACAAGCGGGAGAGTGGGAGAGGGAGAAGCAGGCTTCCTGCAGAGCAGTGAGCCCGACGTGGGGCTCGATCCCAGGACCCTGGGATCATGACCTGAGCCGAAGGCAGATGCTTAACGACTGAGCCACCCAGGGGCCCCTCAAATAAATAAAAAAATAGAAACATAGCTAAAACAATTTTGAAAAATAAAGTGGGACGAGCCAGTCTACCCAATTTTAAGACTTACTATAAAGCTATAGTAACTGGGGCACCTGGGTGGCTCAGTAGGTTAAGCGTCTGCCTTCGGCTCAGGTCATGATCCCAGAGTCTGGGGATCAAGCCCCACACTGGGCTCCCAGCTCAGCAGGGAGTCTGCTTCTCCCTCTCCCTCTGCTCCTTCCCCTGCTCACTCTCACTCTCAAATAAAATCTTAAAAAAAAAAAAAATTCAATAGAGGAAAAAGCATTTTCGACAAATGGTGCTGGAGCAACTGGACATCTACAGGCTAAAAAACAGAAAACAAAAAACAAAAACCCTTGACCTAAATCTTATACAAAAGTTAATGCAAAATGGATCACATAGGTAAAGCATAAAACTAAAAATTTTAGGAAAAAAAAACCTAGGAGACAATCTTTGGGATCTAGGACTAGGTAAAGAATTCTTACACATGATACCAAAAGCACAATCCATAAAAGGAAACTGGTAAACTGCACTTCATGAAAATTAACTTTTGCTCTACAAAGGATCCTGTTAAGAGGATGAAAAAGTAAGCTAGAGACTGGGAGAAAATATTTGCAAACCAAAAACCCAACAAAGGACTAGTATTTAGAATAAAGAACTCTCAAAACAACAGTAAAAGACCAAACAATCCAACTAGAAATGGTGAAAAACAAGAACAGATACTTCACAAAAGCAGCACATGAAAAGCTATACATCAGCCATTATGTTAATACAACTGGAAACCACAATGAGATCTCACTACACACCTACCAGAATGGCTAAAAATAAAAAATGGTGACACCACCAAATGCTGGCGAGGATTTGGAGAAACTGGATCACTCACACGTCAAGGGTGGGAACGTAAAATCGTACAGCTACTCTAAAGGCATGTGGCAGTTTCTTTAAAAAAACCAACCATGCAATTAGCCACACAACCTCGCAACTGTATTACTGGACATTTACCTCAGAAAACCAACGTTAACACAAAAACCTGGAAGGAATGTTCATAGCAGCTTTATTTGGAATAGCCGAAAACTGGAAACCACCCAGATGTCCTTCATCAGGACAGTGAACATATCGAGGAATACTACGCAGCAATCAAAAGGAATGAACTACTGACACACACAACAACCTGGATGCATCTCCGGAATACTCTGCTGAGTGAAAAAAGCCAATCCCAAATGGTCACGTACTGTATCATTCTTGAAATGACAAAATCTTAGATCAGTGGTTGCCAGGGATTAGGGATGGAGGCCGAGGGGCTGGGGTGGCTCTAACAGGAGGGAGGTCCCCGTGGTGGTGGGATGGCTCTGTCCAGAGGGCAGTGGCAGCCACCCAGATCTACTTGGGAGGGCAGAGAATGATCACCCACATTGTGCCAGTGTCAGCTTCGTGGTTTTGATACTGTGTTCTAACTATGTACGAGTAACCACTGCGGAAAACTGGGTGAAGGGTCCCTCTAGCTTGCAACTTCCTATGGATCAAAATAAAGACTTAGAAAAAAGCAGTAACTCTAAATGCAACTTGGTATCCAGAGTTGGATCCTGCAACAGAAAAAGGACATTACTGGAGAAACCGTTAAGATCCAAATAAAGTTGGTAATTTACTTAACAGATTTGTACCAATGTTAATTTTTTTAGTTCTGATAGATGTACCAGGTTATATGTAAGATGGTAACATTAGGGGAAGCTGGGTGAAGGGTATATGGATATAACCCTTCACTCTTACATAACTCTAAAATTGTTTAAGGGGCGCCTGCCTGACTCAGTAGAGCATGCGACTCTTGATCTCAGGGTCGGGAGTTCAAGCCCCATGTTGGGTGTGGAGCTTACTTAAAAAAAAAAAAAAATTTTTTTTTTTTAATTAAAATTGTTTCAAAAAATAAAATCCTCATGCCCAGATCAATTAAATCAGGCTCCCCAGAAGAGGAGGCCCCAAGTATCAGGTATCAGTATTTTTCAATTTGCCAGGTGATTCTAACCTGCAGCCAAGGTTAAGAACCACTGTTCTGGAGAGAGATGATTATAAAGTATGCTTCCCACCCGGGTTTGCTCTTAGAATTCCTTGAGAAGTTTCTAAGCAAGCATGCCATTGTTCTTTGGCCTTCATCCCCACCGGTCCCAGGTAAGGGACCCAAATTCCTTTGAGAAAGGTTCCAGAAATCCTCCTCCCTCCCTATCCAATCTGCAATCCTACGTGTCTGTGACGCCCCTGTTTCTGCATAGTTGAAGAACTGTAGAAGGTAAAAATGGGTAAGTCAGAAGAAAAACATAAATGCCTTCTTGTTCCCAATTCTCTAAAACCCCATAGCTAAGAACAGCAAAAAAGCAAAGAGCTGAAATGTTTCAGAGATACAAGAAAAACTGACGGGTTTTGGTTTTTTTTAAAGGAAGGGGATGAGGTTCTACCTGCTCCATAACCAACTCTTCCCTCCCCTGACTCTCTCTGTGCAAATGACAGCCAGCCAGCTCTCCATGGAGGCCTAGGAAGAAGGTACAAAGTAGATCTAACGGCTGGATCCTCTCCCTGGGATCCAGCAACTGAGAAAGGGTTAGGGGCAGCACACCCCTTCCTCCCACGGGTGACCTCTCTTCTTCAAACACACTAAGTGATGATACCATTAGAAGCACCTAGGCAAGACAGGCAGAGAAGCAGAAGGAGCAGGCCTCCTCAGTGCCACTGGGGGCCAGCTCTCTCGCGCAGGGCTCTGAGCACAGGGCTCAGAGAAGCGACCTCCACAGGAGGGAGCAGGACAGTGGCGCATACCGGTGGGTCATCGAGTTTGAGGTCTGGCACATGGGGCAGGCTGGGGCACGTGCTCTGAAACACGGCACTGTAAGGGAAGCCAAATCGTTCACTGTGGCTACGGCCAAGGATGTGAACCCCCCAGCCCCAACTAGTGCTCCCGGTTTGCTCAAAGTGCCGCCAGCAGCAGCAGGTTGGCAAATTAAAAGCGAAGCGAGTACAGGTCACGGCCACGTAAAGGCAGTAATCGTGCACTCACATCATGGCTTGGCCCAAAGAGGTATAAATACACTGCACTGTCACAGGGAGAAGGCTGGGTCCTGGGGACCACAGATGACAGTGTCTTTTCATTCCCTTCAGAAGCAGGCCTAGAGGGCTGTGCCCCAACTGACCCCCATTTCCTAAAGGAGGGCAGGACCCGCTGAAGGCTCCCGGCACTGAGGTCTGGTTCTGAGGACAGCCCAGGACCCACATCTATAAGGGCCATCTAAAACGTGGCCTGCAGGGGATGGGGACAGGCTGACAAGCTACTCCTCGGCTCTCCAGTTCCCCACGTGCTTGTCCATTCCCCAGAGCTGGGGCTGCCTGGCAAGCAGTTAAACCCCTGGGTTCCGCCCAGGGCTCTCCTCCGCTGGGAGGCCGGGTCTGCTGTGGTTGGGCCCTAGAGGAGAGAGGAAAAGGAGAGTTAGCATCAAAGCTGGTGAAGGAAGCAGGTCCCATCAAAGCCAAGTATCGAAGTCCTCTTTAGGACAGGACAGGGCTGGCAAGGCAGAGGGGCCTCAGGACACCTCAGCGTCAAGGCAGAGCCGGGAGTGGGCAGTCAGGAAAACGGTCAGGCTGACTCTGCCGCCCAAGAGAAAACCACTGGGAGGAGGGCTGCGTCACTGAGAGGCAGGAAAGCAGGGCAGGGGGTTTCTGCTCACAGGAGGCCAAGGCCATAAGGCTGGGCGAGAGGAGCCTGCCTGGACACGAAAGCCCCTGCGCCAGAAGGAAGCTTTAAGTTTCCACCACCGAGTGGGCTATTTCATGACCGCACCAGTCTTCCAGAATAATGAAATGAAAAGTGGCAACAAAGGACAGGAAGGGCCCCCTCACCACCCACCCCTGGAGAAACACCTCCCTGTCTGGGGGCGGCCGTGTCCAGGGCTCCTCCCGGCAGCTAGAGGGCTGGGGAAGGAAAGCAAAGAGAAAGTGAAAGGGAAGATATTTACCTTGGGTGTTTTCTGAAAACAAAAAATGCTCACTAGTCCACAGTCAATTATCAACTGCAGTTTCCAAATGTGCCAAAGAGGGAAAGGTCTACGGGGAAGGCTAGAGAGAGCAGAGGGGAGAGAGACAAGAGGAGACCAGCTGTGCAGCTGCGCCGGCAGGACCGCTCGGCTGGGGCCACCCCGGGGGGGGGCGGGTGTGCCCCTGACGGCCCGCGGCTCAGAACCAGAGGGAGCAGGAAGCGCGGCGTCTGGAGTGGACTCTCCCTTGGAAATCAGCTCTGGGAACGGCCACTGTGCGGGGGTTACCCCGAGTTTGACATGACGTGCCTGGGGTCAGGAAACTTTCTGTAAAGGGCCAGTATTTTTAGGTTTTGCAGGTCATAGACCCTGTGGCAACAGCTCAGCTCCACTGTCGCAGCCAAAGGCACTCACACACAATCCAGAAACAAGCAGGCAGAGTCCAATAGGACTTTATTTACCAGCCCAGCAGCCAGCCAGTCTGCCGATCCTGCCTCAGGCAGTTACTAATTTCCCAAGCATCTCAATAAGGCGTTTTTCTGCCAGCGAATCCAGTGCCAAAGTCAATCGGGGGATGGTTCTGACCTGTGCTATTTAAGCAACGTCCCCAGCGATATGTCCACGTGTGCAGCTACACTAAGCTCTCTTGGGGGGCAGTGGAGGGCCACCTAGCAGAGATGAGCCGCAGTACGACCTCAGAGAGCTGAGGCAGGGAGCAGGAAGACAGCAGGCGAGCCTCACTGTGGACAAACGTCTGGCCACGTCTCGGGGAAAACCCACATCATGGCAACAGAACGGGAGGGGAATCCACTACGATCAGCACGGTGGCGCCTCGGGTAGACCTCTCTGGCTACGACACTGCCCCGGCCCCCGCGCAAAGCGGGTAAGCAGTCACTGAGGGGCAAAGGACCTACAGAGCCACGGCAGGTCACGGGCTTCCCCGCTTTCTGAAAGCAGAGCACTCCCATGAAATCTTTTGTAAGCCAGCGTGGCATAAAACCAAGAAACAATTACCATTTCAAGAAGCAAAACCCCTCTTCGGAGTTCTTTCAGTTAGTGAAAACGGGCACGACCTAAGTCCTTTGTAAAAGCAAAGTGGCGTGAAGCAAACTTTCAGGGGACACCTGTATTTCCTCAGAGGATGGCCCAATGAACGGCTGAAGCCCCAAAAGGACTTTAAAAAACTCCGCATGTACAGGGTGCCTGGGTGGCTCAGATGGTTGAATGTCTGCCTTCGGCTCAGGTCATGATCTCGGAGTCCTGGGATCGAGCCCCGCATCGGGCTCCCTGCTCGGCGGGAAGCCTGCTTCTCCCTCTGCCTCTCTGTCTCTTATGAATAAATAAAATCTAAAAAAAAAACCCCCAAAAACTCTGCATGTATAATAAAGAATGAAATGAAGGAAAAACCATGGTTCTTAGATTTAAGTCTATGCCTTGAATAGAACATGTGCCGTCTCAGTAAGCAGGTGAGGCCAGAAAAGGTTCACATTGAAAAAACCAACACCAAACGCTCACATTTTGAAAAAACAACAACATACTGGCTTTTGAGACCCCAGTCTAAGGTGATGGTGTGAACAAGCGGCCTCTCACAAAGAACAGAGAACATCACAGTGGGTAAATACAGAACCACGACCAGCCCTAACAGGTAGAACACCACTTCTCAGTACACACGCACCGAGGAAGGCCCGGAAGGCCCGGATCCAGGGCTGGAGCAGCACGCCTCATGCTGGGACCCTTTTTACCAACGCACAGAGATGGAGCGCCCAGGCGCTGAGCCACTCACAGGCCCAGGCCAGGGCTTTCTGTCCCTTGCACCTGCACATCACCTCTCAGAAAGTATCCATCATAAAAACACGTTCGTGTTCACAAGCACGGGTCTAAATAACCAGAGCTGTTCCCTGTGGGACACCACTGCCTAGAGGCCAAGGGCATGCACAGGCTCCAGACCAGAGCGCCTCGGCCTCTCTCTGCTTCTGATTCTTCATCTGTAAAATGGGCCTAATGACTGCCACCTCTGAGAATGGAGACGTGTTCTTAGATGAGTGAGGATGAGCAAAGCTCCCAGCACAGTGCCAGGCAGAGCCAGTGTTCAAGAGCGCTCGGTGCCCCCACCTCAGAGTGTCCAGGGCGTCCGGCAGCCCGCAGCTTCTGCCACGGCCTCGCTGGAAGCCCCGCCCACTCCCCCAGGACCACCCAGCCCCCGAGTGTATCTCTGACCCCAACATAGGAGCTCAATCAGAATGAAAGTACCTTCCTGAGTACCAAACCAAGAAAGTTCCCTAACTTTTTAAGCACTCCCACCCAAAGCCCACTCTCCACAGTCTCCTTTTTATCTACAAGGCAGGGTTTGCTAGCCCACACCCCATCTATTTCATCCAACGCGATCTTCCGGCGACTCCCAGTGGGACCCTAGATGTGAGGGGCAGGACTTAAATATTAGCTTGACCCGACCAAACATCTCAACTGGTGCCCTTCTCAGCTCCTGGCATGGTGCCCACCAGCCAGCCACCTTCTGAGCTGGGCCCACTGGTGACTGGGTCTTCATTTTCCAGGTGACCTAACCCTAATCCTAACTGACCAAGAGTGTCTGGACTTGATCTTATTCCCATTTAGCAACTCTTCTCTAATGAAGGCAACCCATGCTGACAGGTCGTCCAGAGAAAATGCTGACCGCACGTACTTTGCACGCGACCTGGCCTGCAGCGCAATGTCATCGTAGCTAGTCAGACAGTGAAAAGAGGAAAAGGAAAGAATGGGCAGAAAAGGGGACAAGGGAAGAGGAATACAAGGCAGAGTGAGGGCAGAGAGAGTGAGTGTGTGTGGGAGCAGCAAGGACCAGCACAGGACGTGCACGCCCTCCGGGCTGCCACACCGGGGGATGTGGCCCTGTGGGGCTCACCTGCTGCCGTGGCTGTCTTGTCACCGAGGAGCCTGGTCTGGCTGCCTGGGATGACCTGGAGGTCTGCGTTCTCCGGGGACTGTGGCAGGTTCTGGGCTCGTGTAGCCAGGAGTGCATTGAGGTACTGCAGCCGCGTGACCTGGAGGACAGAAAGCACCCCCAGGCAGGTGCCACTTATGAAGCCAGACGGAGAAAGCAAGTTCCAAGAAGGTCGCACGTCTCCCTCCTGCCCACAAGCACCAGAACTAGGTGGGAGAGTCACACTCAGCAGGACCAGGAAAATGAAGAGCTTTAAGCCAGCTAAGGGCAGAGGAGAGCAGTCAAGCAGTGTCTTTAAGATCTCAAAAGGAAACTGGGCGCACAGTCCCAGCGACGGGACTAGACTGCCGGCAGTCAGAGGGACCTCCAGGAGCCAAGGCCGTCTGTCCTTCAGAGCAATTAACACGGTCCTGTTCCAGCGAGTCTGAGAGAGACTCAAGAATTTACTCTTAATCCATACAAACTTGCGGCCAGTTGGTTTAGCCCCTGGGGGACACAGAGCTGCCTAACAGCCAGCACCAATGAGCAGCCCAGACAGTCACCTTAATGAGCTGCAGGTCGGAGAGGGCCCTCACGGTGTAGTCAGGACAGTACGCACGCAAGCGGGCACCGTCGGCTGGCTCGGGCTGCAGGTCGTGGCGGATGGACTGGAGCGAGGACACCGGGGACTGGTGAACTATCAGAAGGAACAATCAGTGACGTCTCTGGTGGGGACAACTGCACCGCCTCGGAGATCCACCCCACAGACCACTCTATGATGTGACCACAGCTACGAACAGAGAAGAACGGCAAGCACACTTCCTCGCGGGAAAGGCTTGGCGGGGGCAGGAGCGAGCAACAGTGACGAGCCCCAGAGAAACGCTGCCCCTCCCTCGACACAGCCCAGAGAAGAGAAAAGCCAGCCCCTCCTCAAGTGGAGCACCCGACAGGACGCGTGGGCTCTGGAGGAAGGGGAGGCCAGACCCTGGGCCCCGGAGAGCCGCACAACCAGCAGCTGAGCCCAGCCTTCCGCTCCAGGAGGGGCTGGCGCTTACCTGAGGATGGTGCTGTCAGGGCAGACACTCCATAGTAGGTGAAGGCCCCATTCTCAAACTTCAGGCCCTCTTTCCCGATCTCCACCTCAACTCTGCCCTGGGAGGTGGAGGGAGAGGGAGGGAGGAGGGGCAGGGAGAGAAAGAGAGGTGGACAGATTACCTTCCCCGCCAGACGAGAGCACAAGGAGAAAGCACCAACCCCAATTATTGAGGGGGAGTGGATGTGCATGATCCTCCCTCTCTCAGGCCCTTCCCTCCTTTCTGAGCAAGTGGGAGGCTCCAGCCCGGGCTCCTGGTTACCTGCAGGATGAGAATGAAATAGTCCACTGGCTGGCTGCGCTGGTACAGATAATGGTGTGCAGCCAGACGGTTGCTCTCGTCAAACCTCACTTCCTGGTTGACGCTGGGATGCTTCAGCAGGTGCAGCAGGACCTTCTCGGAGATTCGCAGGGGGCTGAATACATCCACCTCTGCCCCGTGGTGGGAAAAAGGGACAGTGTCCACCGGGCCCAGAGTGGCCTGCACGACCACAAGGCCTTCTGCTGCCCCCCGAGCCAAGTCACCTCCCCAACACGAGGGAACTGGGCAGGCCGCACACCCCCCACCCCGCCCCAAGGCCCCCCGCCGTGGCTCGCCAGAGGTGGCGCCTGCCTGGCTGCAGCTCTCAGCCGTCAGCAGAGAGGAGCCGTCCCTCAGGGGCCCTGAAGTGCTGACAGGGCTGGAGAGAAGCGCCGAAGGGCTCCTGGGTACGCTCCTCCTTCCCAGGACTGAGGGCACTCGGTGTCTGCCCTGGGGGCCTCTTGACCCACCGGACGGTGGGCCAGAGAGCAAAGGCCCACCCTTCACCCTCACCTCGGGACAGGAAGCGCTGGGTGGCCAAGAGCAGCTGAGGCGAGATTTTCACTTTATGTTCATCGTCAGACACCTTGAACAGGGAGAATTCCTCTTTCGGCCTGAGGGGGGCACTCAGAGGAGCAGGCTTCTTCCGCACGGCGGCATCTCCTAGGATGGCGAGAAGGCCCACTGAGGCAACAGTAGTCCTCCAGTCAGTACGAGCAAACCGAGGCCCACTGCGCGGCCTGGGGGCTCTCAGGTGGGGGAGGCAGCACCAAAGCCCCGGGGACACAGCCCTGCTGGGGCCTGGTGGCCGCTCCCCACACACAGCAAACCTGGCAGGGCGGAGGGGGTTAGTCCCGTACTCCAGCCATGTCCTGAGGAAGTACGGACAGGGCCTGCTCCTGTCCTCGGAGCTGGAAAGGCAGAATACTGACAGGACGGTCAGAGACCCCTCACCAGAAAGCACGTCTGCAGATTACGGGCGCGACATGGCAGCAGCTAACCTGATGTCCCCATGCCTATGGCGGCCTGAGGAACCAAACTAAAGAGGCTGCATTTTGGGGACAGACGCGGGGGCAAAGCGATTCACTTGATAGCAAATGGAGCTGGGGGGGTGCTCAGTGTCCCAAGCGTGCACATGAGGCCCCAGGCCATCAGGTCCAGGCTCTGTGTCTGCCCTGCAGACCTCAGCCATCTTCCTAAGAGCCAGACACCCCTAAGGCATGATCACGGGCCCCTGGATCTTTGGTTTTGGAAAGACCCTCTCTGCAGTAAAGAACGGGATTCTCTGAGGCGAGGCTTCTGTAACGTAGAAAAGAACCCGAGAAAGCCAAAGGGCCATGGAAGACGGGGGCCTGGGAAAGGCCCCTGAAGGGCAGAGCCCCCATCTGTGCCGGAGAAACCAAACTGCTGCTGCAGCCAGAGCCCCAGGCAGGCAGTGGGGCTGCAAAGGCCCCGCTGGGCCACCGCGGCGTCGCATCCAAGCACAGCCGCGGCCCCAGCTAGCCAACAGCTCTGACTGGAGATCCAGCCTCGTTTCAGCAGCACGGAGACCCGCTGTCCTCTGAGGCACACCACACATCTCAGGAGGCTTGAAAGACCGGCTGAGATGGAACGCTGCCAGGAGTCAAGACTCACGGTAGTCCTCAGACTCGTCCAGGATCTCAGACTTGATGATCTCCTCAATGACGTCCTCCAGGGTGACCAGGCCCAGCACCTCGTAGAAGGGGTCACCTTCACCCTCGTTGTTCACCTTCTGCACGATGGCCAGGTGGGACTTCCCTGGGGGAGGGGACGCTCAGGTTACATCCCATTTGAGGTGACGTCTGTGTTCCCACAATGTACCGGGCACCAGTGAGACTCTTCCTAAGTTCTTACTTAAGGCTCTCAACACGCTTGTGAGGACGAGCCTCCCTTTACACACGGGACCCTAAATCTCAGGCACTATGGTCAGCCACACAAGGCCACCCAGGCAGGGGCAGAGCGGGCAGCCTCGGGTCCACAGAAACGTGGTTTAGATAAGGCTGCGTCAGGCCGGGACAGATGCTAGGGCTGCACACACAAGGGCACCAACTCCAGAAGCATGGGCTCCCCGGGGACACTCTACATGGGGGAGCACAGAAGGGCCACCAGTGACTCTCCTGGGGAAGCATCCCCATTCTGAAAGCTGTCCTTTATTTCCAGAAGCCAAGGTCTATGCACGTCATCCAGGGGGAAGATGATACACGGTGAGTGGCCAGTCAGAGCCCAGACTGTGCGGAAGGAAGGGCAGCAGCCTGGAACTGTTCCCCTTCCCCTCCTTCAGCTGAGCTTCCTATTGGTTTGTTTGTCTGATAAAGAAATGGAAGCTTGAACAAAGCCCAAGCCTCAGAGTGCTGGGGACTGTTGAGGAAACTTCAAGAACTGACTCTGCTTTTTATCTATGAAACTTTATGAAACCTGTCCAAAAGAAACAGAACGCAAACCATATATGTAATTTTAAATTTCTGAGTAGCCACATTAAGGAAAAAAACACAGGTGAAATTAAGTGGTAACATATTGTAATTAACACAATATAGCCCTCAGTATCACTTTGACATGCAATCAACATAAAAATATTAAAACAGGGGCACCTGGGTGGCTTAGTCGTTAAGCATCCAACTCTTGATTTCGGCTCAGGTTATGATCTCAGGGTCGCAAGATCAAGCCCCACATCAGGCTCCGCACTCAGTGTGGAGTCTGCTTGAGATTCTCTCTCCCTCTACCCCTCCCCCTCCAGCACTCACTCACTCTCTCAAATAAATA